AAAAAAAAATATTCCCCCCACCCCCCAAAAAAACACCAAAAATAAAAAATAAAAACCTATACCCCTTCCCTTTAAAAAAAAAAGATCTCTTCTTTGTTCTGTACCCAGAGAAGCCATCCACGTCTTGCATTCCCCTGACTGAACCCAGAACAGCCTACAACACATCATCAAAGCCAAGCATCCGCATCAAAACCTCCCCAAATCCAGAAGCGCTGTCCAGTACAAAGAGGATACGTGACATATGACACATTTCATTGTGTACAATGAGTTCTCATCCTCAAAGCAGAAGGTAATCAATCATATGAGTGACCACATTTTAGCGGCACAAAGAAACATTCCAAAAAAACAAATCTATATATAACTGAATAATGCATAACGATATATAAAGTAAAACCTAGAAGTAAAATGAACATCTCACCTTTTAGTATAATTATCTATCGGCAGGATATCCCATGCTTTCAAGCTGCAGTAAAAAAACAAATTACATAAGAACAAGGAAAGGTGCACACATATTAGTAAGGAGGGAAGATATACCAGTCTTCCAGCCATCGATGATTTACAAGTTTAATTTTCACTTTCTTTGCAAGCTCATACTTCTCACCTGCCACACACAATAGGATTATGGCCTTTATTAAGATGAGACGATAATAATTAAAACTATAAACAGTGTCAAGCAAACAAGGGTTTCATAATTTACTACATAGTTAACCGCAACAAAGAGAATAAAAAAGCTGATTTGCATCTAGTTATGTATTAAGCACTGGAAACAAAATCACACATTTCATATTAAATGTCTAGAATTCCGAAGGGCAAGATATATATACAACGTTAGCAGCAGTCAAAGGTTCAAGGCGGAAGTTAAACAATTGTGTTATCTTCTTCTTTGCCAGTCAAGCGTTACAGAGGTCAATACTTCGTTGGGCACAAGGTGTGCTTTTTCAGTAGCATAAGAAGAAAAATGATTGCTAACCGGGGAAATTGTAAATGGAGGATCTATGCTTCTTGAAACACTGGGACGAGATTTGCGGAAGACGAATATAATAACAATTTGTAACATTGTCAATGATAACAAACTTGCTACTTCTACATGGTTGGCAGTCTCGAGCATTTCAGAGTTGATCCTATATTGTCCACTAAGATCTTGTACAACAATATTAACAATGAAGAGGTTGCTCGAAATAGATTTAGGATTGAAATTGCTGAAAAAGGTTTTAGGATTAAAATTGCTGAAAAAAGCTTTAGGATTAAAATTGCTGATAAAGCATATGAGATGAGCACATGCATCAAGAAGTGAATAAAGAGGCAACGATATAAAGAACACTCAAAACAAATGTCATAGTTATAGTCATAGAACACTTTTCAAGCCCCACTACTTGAGTAACAGTATAGAATACCACATTCCAAATTACTTGCATACTGAGGCAAAACTGACATACCCTCGAATTTGTAGCAAATAAGATGTGTGACTTGGTTTGCTATCAAAGGCTTGGAGAATTTTGCCCCCATCAAGGAAACCATTTTCTATAAACAAAGAAAAAACAAAATCAATTATTTGCATAATAAAAATTACTGTGAGAAAATACTAAAGAAGTATATATTTCACTTGACAATAAAATCAAACTACAGCCATGTTGTATAGATACTTTCTGAAGTTCCAAAGGGAGAATAAAGAATTGTACTAAAACACTAGAACGAGCAAAGCAATACAAATTTTCCGTTGATCTTTTTGGAGACAAACCTTAATGAGAACCATAATATTAAGAAGAATTATAGCCATGAATAATGATCTGTGTGATTGCCTAAAATTGCCCTATAAGTTAGAAGAAATGTGAATATGAAAGACATAGCTCATGCATAAATAAACTAATTAAGTTTTACTTTACTTTGTTCCCAAACCACAAACCACGCTATGGTTTGTGCTGAATAACCAATCCCAACAGGTTCTGCAGTCTGTCTCAATGGAACATGTATATTAGCGATATTGCATTGAAACATACTTATGAATGTGGACCAACAACAGACAAGCGAAAATCCTTAAAAAAATATGCATGACGTGTGTCCAGAGAGTGCATCTGATACAACATGACTTCACTATTGAAATGTCTGTACCACATGGGTTATCAGCAAGCATTGATCAGCTTCAACTAAGAAAAAACAGTTGACAAAATCAAATTTGCCCCTCTTCTCCATATCTTTACATAAAGGCAGCTCGGTTTGCTTGCACACTTATAAGAAATAGAAGCATAGATTTGGTTAAGGCGAAGAAACAAGAAGGATAGTACTTCTACTTGAAAGACTTGCAAATTGATGCAAAAGACTCGCATTCGTGCCGAGTGATTGTGTAGATAGTATATGACAAGCTAATCCAATAGAGAAAGCAAGGTTGTTCAGGCTCAATGACAACTCAAATGAGCCGAAGACCAATGAAGTCTGAAATAGTATTCTGATAAAATGAAAGGTGATTTCCCAAACATGCCTCTGAACTTCATACAAACAGAATCTTAAAAACAAGAATGTATCCTAGCTTGCACTTCAGAAGGAGGCTTATATTTGAACAGAACACCTTATCCCCCTGATGAATTTCTTGATCAATCTTCTTCCCTGACCAGGAGAGCATATTCTAGCTGAAATAATAGTCAAACATGGTGCCAAACCATTCTATGCAGTAACAGGCTCTGCTAAGGAGAAATGAACATGAACTTTGGGTTATTCACCGAAAGTAAAAGAAACTGCAAATTCAAGGTGGAGTTACCAAAGCAATTCAGCCGACTAAACTCCTGCCAGGGCATCAAATTCAAAAGAAAGAAGAGAAGTTTCTAAAAGTTTTCGTTACAATAATGGTGAAGATGAAGTTCCTCACAGAGCAATGTTCAATATATATGAGAAATTGCAAATTGAAGTTCAGGAAACATGAAAAGATGCTTGAAGGTTCAAGAGTCATGTATATGGAACAATTTGGAGGGGGAAAAAGGAGGGTTTCTAGAGGTATATTCAACTTGAAAACTGATGATAGACAGCCTATTGGATTCCCTAGACATTTTAATCAAGAAATAACATGTGGAAGTGTAACATTTGCATTGCAATTTCAGCACTCAGAGACCTCGCTGCATTGACTGCAGGAATCCCAGTAGTGGAATAAGAGCTACAAGCTGAGCTCACAAAGCAAACGCAGTTGCAATATAGGCCACTGGTCACATCCATCACGACATAAGATTGGAGCATCCAACTTTCTCACTTGGGAGCAGAAACAGATATGCCCAAAACACTAGCCACTCATAGGCTTGTCTCTATCTAAATTAAGGACTGTCTAGATCGACTCTTATATGAAGAAGAAAACGCAGGGTACCTGTGAGATAAATACAACCTGTCACAAAGCTTGATGATGCGTTCAAATGATAATGAGGTGTGAAAGAGCTAAATGTGTGCAAGTTAGGCAAGTTACTTATTTTACCTTGCAAGGATCCAAGGTCATGTTTGGTAAATGTTACTTATTTACTTATGTTTTACTTATAAGTAACCAAAAAATAAGTTGGGAAATCCCAACTTATTTTTTGGATACTTACAAGTAGATTTACTTATTATGGTAAAAGACTGCCTTGCCCTCTAATAAAATAAGTAAAAATAAGTAATAAATTACTTATAAGGATTTAAGAAATAAGTATTAGCCAAACAAGCCCTGTGACACAACTTCTTCAGTTTCCACATCCTCTGTAAGCAATAAGGCAAAGAGATAAGATTCACTTATAAATGCTCCCTGGCAGGTGGAGCTCGTCCATGAGGTGGTCCACTATTAATTCATGGTTTGTCTAGAGAGGAAAAGGAAAGAAGTCAAGTTGTCAAGGCAGTTTGTGCAAGGAAAAAGATAAAATAGTTTCAGAAACATTTTGTTAATCATCAAACATTTATTTCCAAAAAAGAACAAGGGATGTTCCCTTGGGCATCTCAAATAGATGCCACATAAAATAAGTTTAAGAAACTGTAGGTGAATCAAAACTTCTAAAAAAACCCAACAAATAAGATGCTACTAAACAAAATATTGGATCTGAACAATCCACATGCCAGAGCATAGTAAAGTGAATGTCTCATCCACAAGTCCTTGGGAATGAAGAATTACATAGAGAATTAAGAGCATACCATAATATCATCACGTTCTGGCCTTTGATATCCTGTCAGGCAAATGTATAGCGACTCACTGCCCGGAATTCCATTCAAATCTTTTACAGGCCTATACAAAACCTGTAGAAAACAAATGAAAAAACTAATGCTATATGTCACATGTATGCACAGGTAGGCAGAAGTACAGAATGATTATATATCCAGTGGCCATATTGATTTATGCCGGTTCTTGCAAGAGTTACATTCTTCTATGCAAGAGGAAGAATTAGAGAGAACAAAGAAGTTTGATTCTTAGAAAGTATGTTTAGGTTGTTCTTTCTCTGATCCTTCTCTGAAGTCTGAACACAAAAGAACGAATAGAAATTTGTTTCATTTCAAACACTCTAATGTATGCACACATACTCAGAACTACAAAGTATGGGTGTATATCTGATAGCTGTACCAATTTCTTCATAATGGATTTAAAGAAAAGGGGAAAAACCAGAGTTGGAAGAATTTCAATGAATGGGATCTTCTTACAACCTTAAACTAATCTAATATATCTCCAAACTTAAAAAATACAAGGCAATACCCCATTAAAAATATCAATAAAGCTTACATCTCTAACTGACTACAAATACAACGTATTCTCCAGTGAACAAAGCAACAATGATACATTCATTACATTGTCATCCAATTTACACTGAACTCCAGGATAAAATCACAAGCTCTGCAGGAGATATTTTTTACAGATCAACCATCCTAAATTTGTTTTGCTCAAAAACGCTTCAGATAAAGTTCATCAAAGATTTATCCGCCAAAATATAAGCTTACATATTAACTCTTGAACTCCTAAAAAGTATTATATATCCTAACGTTTTGGCACCATATCCAATGTGGATCTATTCAATATGGCTTGGGATGTGAGTCATGTGACACTGTCACACCTCAACAGCAATCATATTGTCCTACATTAGATATGTGAAGAGGGAGCCTGGGGTGTATCATCATTGTCTCATACATATTAGTATGGCAAGGACCCAAATGGGGAGCATGTCACACACCAAGACAACAGTTTCACGCGAAAAAGTTTTAGGGAAGTCTTATCATATATGATAATTTCTATGAGCTCAAGCATTTAATCATAGCAAGCATTCTAAGCAGTAGAGTTCTCTAAAATTAAGTGTGCTCAAGTTGGAAAGAACTCAGAATACATGTAGAGCCTTCTTCATTAAACATTTCACTACACAGGTAGTCTCAGTAAAGCCTAGATTGTCAATTAGCCGACCCTTTTGACAAAAACAAAAGAGCACCGAAAGAGCCTACAATTGTTGACAAAGGAAAAGAAAACAAAAATGGCAGGCCTTACAGCATAGTAAAATATTAATATTTTATTGTGCATAGTATTTTCCAAACACTACAAATAGGCTCCAAATTCTTAAGGAAAAAATCTTCCTAGAAACAACTTCTCTTGTAGAAGAGTGAGAGAAAAAAAATAGAGAAAGAGTATCACCTTGTTAAGAGAGATTGTAACTCTAGAGTTTTCTCCTCATAGTAAATTCTTCTATCATTGCCCGTAGACGTAGGCAATCAAGTGCCAAACCACGTAAATCTGTATGTCTATCATTTTATCTCTACTTTTGCTCTACTATTACTGCGAGTCTGCGACCCTGCTGAGCCTGCTCTATTGGGTCCCGGGTTTGTCCTAACAAGTGGTATCAAAGCCAACTTACGGTGCTTGTATATATCTACTTATCGTATGCTCTGTAGCTGTCATCAAAGGTGGATCCTCCACATCAAACAATAAGTTAGGTTATTACTTACCTTTTAAAGGTGACGGGTACTATTCACGAGTACAATATTGTTCATAAATACGATACTATTCACAAATACGATACTATTCACAGATACGATACTATTCACAGATATGATTACTGTTTACGTGAGATGGTAAGAAGTTATTGTTCGTGGTAGAAGCAATGACGGCAAAATTCAAGATCGAGAAATTCGACGGGAGTAATTTTTTACTGTGGAAGTTGAAGATAAAGACTATCTTAAGAAAAGATAATTGTCTGGCGACTATCGGTGCAAGGCCGGACGACATCACAGATGATAAAAAGCATTGTTTTAAATATCCCTGACATGGCCCGATATATCCCCTGATATATCCTTTTATAGGGCTTGCCGCAACCGATATGGTCTTTAAATATCCTTTAACGTTTTTTGGCTATTTTGAGTGATAAATCCCCGATATGACCGATATATTAGCCGATATGTGGATCAATATATCTTTTTATATAGCTTGTTGCAAAATAATATACCGTGTTTGGAATTTTTGGGCGATATATCAAGATTTCCCCATTATATCAAATGACATTTTGCCCTAAAAAAAGCAGATCAGATGTTGCAACGTTGCTTTACACTTTTGTTTATTTTAGAAGGTTGATTAGTGATCCTAAACATATATTATTCATATTTTGTATGCTTAAATTTTATTACATATCTTGAGATTACATTTTAATGCATTATACTATGTACATAAACATTCGTTATGGCATTCCGATATTTACCACATATCCCTGATATTTCCCCGATATCCGCAATCCGATATGAATTTTGGACATCCGATATTTCCCCGATATCTGATATTTAAAACCTTGATAAAAAGTGTAACGAGATGAACGAAAATACTATTACAAATCTCCATTTGGCATTAGCAGACGGGATACTGTCAAGCATAGAAGAGAAGAAGACAACAAAAGAGATCTGGAATACTCTAACAAAGCTATATGAGGCGAAATCCATACACGATAAAATCTTCTTAAAAATAAGACTTTATACTTTTAGGATGGCAGAATCTACATCGATAACTGACCACATTAACACCCTAAACACACTGTTCTCCCAACTCACAACGTTGGGGTATACAGTTGGTGCGAATAAACGTGCAGAACTTCTACTTCAGAGTCTACCTGACTCGTATGATCAACTCATCATCAACCTGACAAACAACGTCCTTACGGACTATCTAGTTTTCGACGACGTTGCAGTCACTGTTCTGGAGGAAGAAAATCGGTGCAAGAACAAGAAAGACAGATATGCAAGTTCGAAACAAGCGGAGACTTTAACAGTGACGAGAGGAAGATCAACAGAACATGGCTGCAACGGGAGTCGTACCCATGATAGATCAAAATCACAAAGTAAGAAGAATATCAAATGCTACAACTGTGACAAAAGAGGGCACGTCAAATTGGAGTGTTGGCACATAAGAAGAGTGGAGATAAAAAGTCTTCAGAACCATCAACATCTCAAGGATGTATTGTCAGCACATCAGACGATAGTGGAATTCTATTCAGTGGAGCAACCACTGTTGATGAAGGTAGAAAGAGATTTGCTGATATCTGGCTTTTGGATTCAGCAGTCTCCTGGCACATGTCCTCCCGAAGAGAATGGTTTCACAAATATGAACCTATCTCAGGAGGATCTGTATTCATGGGAAATGATCATGTCTTGAAGATTTCTGGTATTGGCACTATCAAAATCAAAATGTTTGAAGGTACAATACGCATCATTCAAGATGTGCGATAGTGAAGGGGCTTAAAGAAGAATCTATTATCTTTGGGATAATTAGATGAGCTCGGGTGCAAGACCCATATAGAAAATGGGATCATAAAGATTGTTAGAGGGACGCTTGTGGTAATAAAATAAGAAAAGATAGCTGTAAACCTATATATGCTCAAGGGAGAAACCCTACAGGAAGCTGATTCATATGTGACATCAACCAGCCGTGGAAAAGAACAAACCATGATGTGGCATCGCAAACTAGGCCACTATGTAGCACGGACACGGATCCGACACGGCCATCCGACACGCCGACACGAGGTAAATCCTAAAAAATACATAGGATACGTGTGTTCGACACGTGTGTCCGACACGGACACGACACGACACGGCTTCATGTTATGCGTGTCCGTGCTTCATAGCTAGGCCACATGTCAAAATGAGACTTGAAGATTCTCTCCAATCAGAAGCTGTTTCCTTAACTTAATTCAGTAACTCTTCCATTCTGCGAGTATTGTGTTACAAGTAAGCAGCATCGGCTGAAGTTCAACACATCAAGTTTTAGAAGCAAGGCTATTCTGGAACTGGTTCATTCTGATGTATGACAAGCACCAGTTACATCCTTGGGAGGAACAAAGTATTTTGTGTCCTTTATTGATGACTACTCTAGGATATGTTGGGTGTATCCATGTGTTCTCAGTGTTTAAAACCTACAAAGCGCGGGTCGAGTTTGAATATGAGAAGAAGATCAAGTGCCTAATGTTAGATAATGGAGGAGAATACACATATGGTGAATTCCTAGCATTCTGTAAGCATGAAGACATCAAAAGACAATTCAGTACGGCTTATACTCCTCAACAAAATAGAGTGACGGAGCGAATGAACAGAATTCTGTTGGAAAGAAAAGAACAAAAGCTATGTTGACAACTGTAAATCTGGATAAAGTCTTTTGGGCGGAAGCAGTAAAAACCGCCTGTTATGTGATGAATCGATCTCCATCAACCGTAATACAGTTGAAGACGCCGATGGAGATGTGAACTGGCAAGCCAGGTGATTATTCTAACCTCTATATATTTGAAAGTCCAGTGTACGTAATGTACAATGCCCAAGAAATTACAAAGCTGGATTTAAAATCCAGAAAATGCTTATTCTTGGGGTATGCTGATGAAGTAAAGGGGTATCGCTTGTGGGATCCCACTGCCCACAAGGTTATCATCAGCAGAGATGTTATCTTTGTAGAGAACAAACTACAAAGTAAAAAGAAAGAAAATAATTCAAGGAATGACTCAGAGACTATAGCTGTTCAGTTAGAAGATAATCTGAATTCTTCTGAAGCAACACCGGAGCATGATGTATAAGAATCGGTCGAGTCCGAGGCTTCAGAAGTTCGAAGGTTAACTCGTGAGAGAAGACTACTAACTTGGCACTCGGAGTATATTACGGAGAGTAATGTTGCATATTGTCTTCTAACGAAGGATAGAGAGCCATCAACTTTTTATGAAGCTATAAATGACACAGATACATCTTTGTGGATGACAGCAATGCAGAAAAAAATTAAAGCTCTCCATAAGAACAAAACT